ATAATAAATAGTCTTGTTTTTTTTTTCATGTTTTGTCATAATACCTACTAACCAATAGAACAAATAAGAAGATTAGAATACCAAATTTTAAAAAACTTTTCGTGTTAGGTACCTATAACTATATTATTGTATAATAATTAATAATATGTGACATGTATTTAATTATAATAATGATTTGATTTTTAATGCCACCTAGTTGTATCTCTATATTTTGCACGCTTGCATGCAAGCCGAATATTATGTACTTTTTTACTTACTAAGACCTATTGTAACTATATTCTGGCAAATAAACTATCTTGATTCTTGATTCTTGATACATTTTCTGGAAAACTTGCAAAATTTTCCATCGCGGGCAGGATTTGAGGTTCTATGCTGTAGGTAACCACTACTACAGCCACAACAGCCTTCCAATAGGAGGGTATTGCCATACTCACCACGCTTGGCAGGCGGATTGGCGAGCGCAGTGCAAGGTGTTGAAGACATTCACAGGAAACGCTGCTGCCCATTCCTGGATCCATTCCTTTCGCTAGTCGCCATTAACGACATCCACTTGTAGAAATGGGATGATGCTATTCTAAGCCGGTATCACACGGCTATGCTGTACCTATGTGTACTTAAGTACCTACATACAACATGCTGCAAAGCAAGACAACATGCGTGTGCTCACGCATAAGCAATACCTATGTTATTTCTACTTGCTCATGTAACTTCAGATTTTATAGTGTCATCATCATTGGCCTCATACGTCTGTGACAGACGATTTATTCAGTGTCTGAGGCAAGATGTTTCATGGCTGTATAAGCCGATACGGGAGCGGCATGACTTTCCGCACGCTCTACAAACGAAGGTGGAATTAGAGACTGGCACATGCATGTTTAGATGTCGTTTTTGCCTTTTGTTTGCGAGACCAGCGAACCAGGCATCGTCGTGAGCTTTACGCCCATCAAACACACGCTTTCTCCATACATCCCTATTCTCAGCAAGCTTCTCCCAGCTTTGATGGTCGATGTCAAACGCAGCCATGTCCCGTTTGGCGCAATCTTTGAAACGTAGCATCGGTCTTCCAACTCCTCTTTTGGCGTTAGCTACGGCGCCAAGCAGGACACGCCGTGGTAGACGCGAAGGTTCCATGCGGTACACATGCCCTAGCCACCGCAATCGTCTTTGCTTAAGCAAAGCGGTAAAGCTAGGCAGCTGTGCAATTTCTAGAACTCGCTCGTTTGTGACTCTGTCCTGCCAAGTTATATGCAAGATGTTTCTTACGCAGCGCATATGAAATGTGTTGAGTCGACGTTCTTGTTTTGCGTACGAAGTCCAGGTTTCAGCTCCATACAAGAGTATGCTTAGAACGCAAGTTTGGTAAACAATTATCTTGGTTTTTGTGGTCAGGTGTTTATTATTCCATACTCTTGTACTGAGCCTGCCGAACATGGTCGCAGCTTTGCCGATACGAGTATTGAACTCAGCATCGAGGGTGAGATTGTTCGACACAGTCGACCCCAAGTAGCAAAACTTGTCAACTATGTTCAGGGAACGCCACCGAGCAAAATACGTGGTGTTTCTCCACCTTGAGCTAGCACTACTGTTTTTGGCATTAATGGACATTGAGAACAGAGAACACGCGTGGGAAAACTTATCAACAATGTCTTGAAGCTCACTTTGAGAATTAGCAACGAAGGCTGCATCGTCAGCGAACAAAAGGCTATCGACGAATAAGTCATCGCGGTTACGCTTTGACCTAAGAAGCGAGATATTGTACAGCTTCCCGTCAGCCCTAGTGTGCAGGTGTATACCCTGTTGGTCATCGCCGAAAGCAACTTTAAAAAGCAATGAGAAGAAAATACCAAACAGGGTAGGAGCCAACACGCAGCCTTGGCGAACACCTCTACGCATTTCGAACGGCTCGGATGTATTGCCGTTAAAAACAACAGATCCTTTCATGTCCTCGTGGAAGGATTTAATGAGGCTTAGAAGTTTTGGAGGGCACCCGATGTTTAAAAGTGCAGTATAGAGTCCTTCCCTGCTCACGGTGTCGAAGGCTTTGTTAAGGTCGACGAACGCCACAAACAGAGGTGTTTTCTGCTCTCTACACTTTTCCTGCAGTTGGCGAAGTGTAAAGATCATATCTGTTGTGGAACGTTGGGCGCGGAATCCACATTGCGATTCGGGATATACACGATCAGCAAGTTTCTGGAGTCTTATTAAGACTAACCGAGCAAATAATTTACCTACTATACTTAAAGGGATATTCCACGATAACAGTTACAGTCACCGCGGTCACCTTTGCCTTTGTATAGGGTAATGATGTTAGCATCGCGCATATCCTGTGGTATATATCCCGCTTCCCAACATTTACACAACAGATTGTGCAGGATGGGTAATATGCACTTGAGCCTGATAATTTCGGCGTGGGTACCATCGTTTCAGGTGATTTTCCAATTTTAAGCTGCTTAACAGCCTTGTGGTACTCCTTATGGTAGGAAGATCATCTAACTCAGTCCAGGTAGCTAGTTTTGGCATGCAATCTGCAGCTTCTGGCATTATGTTCACTGGTTCTGAGTAGAGACCAACATAATGTTCTACCCATCGTTCGAGTTGGCGTTGAGCATCTGTAATAACAGTGCCGTCCGCTTCTTTAAGGGGGCTGTTTTTAGGAAAAGGACCAAGGGCCTTTTAATCCCAGCGTAAACACCACCAAAGTTTCCCATATCAGCGCATGATTGAATGCTTTGACAAAGCTCGGTCCAGTATGCATTTGCGAAGTACCGTGATGTGCGTTGTAAAGCTGATTTTGCATTCGATAGGTCGATACGCGTCTTTTCGGATGGGTTAAGGCGATGTTTTAGCGCAGCTTGTCGTTTGGACTCGAGCAGAGGTGTAATGTGTTCGAGATTTTCAGCGAACCAGTCCTGGTTTCTAACTTTCTGATGACCGAAAGCCGTACCGGCTACTTCTGTAAGTAGCTTTTTTACTTTGCCCCATTCCTCCTCTATCGGAGCGTCTACATCCCAGGTGGCAACTTCGTCGCGTACCAGCTCTTCATACTTTTGGACCACCTCATCGTCTCTGGTCTTTGGAAGATCGAGCTTCTTCCTACCGGGCAATTTGGATGAGTGGATCTTTTTGTGAGCTATAGCAACTTGTGATGCCACCAGGGAGTGGTCTGTGTCACAATCAGCGCTGTGAAATGATCGCGTGTGCAGGGTCTCGCGGAGATTTTTCTTTTGTAAGGATAAGGTCCAGTTGATGCCAGTGTCCAGAACGAGGATGTTTCCAGGACACTTTGCGAGTTGATTTGCCTTTAAAGTAGGTATTGGTAACACACAGTAGGTGTTTAGAGCAAAGCTCTAATAAACGTTGGCCGTTTTCATTAAGCTTCCCTATACCGTGGTTACCTATACAATCTGGCCAAGCAATGTTGTCCTGTCCGACCCTAGCGTTAAAGTCGCCCAGAATATATAAGCGGTCAGATGGTTTTAACCCGCGTAGAGTCTGGTCGAGCTGGTCATAAAACTGTGTTTTGGCTTCATCTGTTGAGGATAGCGTTGGTGCGTAAGCAGAAATCAGTGATACGTAACCATGGTCCGTATTTAATCGCAGCAACATAATGCGTTCCGAGATGCCGCAAGGAGCCTCTATAGATGTTAAGAGGTCGTTGCGTATGGCAAAGCCAACACCATACTCGCGCACAGCGCTGCTGTCCTTTCCTTTCCAGTAGAATGTATAATGCGTCTCACGCAAGGAACCCTCGTCAGGAGTCTGGTCTCTTGTAAAGCGCAAACAGCAATGTTCAGTCTGTGTAGTTCGGCGTCGATTACGGCAGTTTTACGCAGATCTTGTGCGTCAGTAGAAGAACCTCCACAGGTGTCAGGAGGCCTGTCCTCATAGTACGGACATTCCATGTTGCAAATCGCATGGATAAGCGGGGTTGTTTTTGATGTTTTTATGCCTGTTAGTTGCAGGTGTACAATGTAACGGCGCCGATTGTCCAGTTGAGGCTGGTGCTCTCTACACCCTAAAAGAGCAAACCAGCACCGGGGCGGATCAGTACCTTATTGGTCGGGGGCTGCCCAACTTGGAGCGGGCGGTAACTGATCAGTGGGTCTACGATGGACCCTCCCACTGACGGAAGCGACCCCTGGCGCCCGCACTTACGCCCATACGTGCAGACTTATAACCGGTCACTGCCACTTCCCGTGTTGTTATCCGCGAGACGCGGGTGAAGTTTCCTCTCCACAGACACTGCGTTGCCTGGGACGCAATTATGGAAAACGCAGGGCTGCCCAGGACCTGCGCCACCCTCTCGGCCTTCCTGGCTGACTCCACAGGAACGACGAGTCGATACGTGCGGAGCCAGGTCGGCTGCAGGAGTCTGCCGCACGATATATATGACTTAATCGCACCTGACGGAGACCCCATTCCGGGTTTAAGTGTGGAGTTTTCCTTCTCCAGGACCCTGATCCACTTGGGTCGGATTTATCCCTTTATAGTGTAACAGTTTGGTAATAGTAACATAAAGTTGATACAGGCTGTCAAAATGTTCATAAATGATAATAAGAAAATTGTATACCTACCTAACACGAGAAGTGTTTTAAAATTTGGTATTCAATTTATCGCGGGTTTTCATCGCTTTGACTACATTCAATCTGCAAAGAATTAATTAGTCGCTGGGAATTAGTTGTAAAAACTATCCCGGTAGATGGAACCCATCCACGCGTTAGTGGACAAGATAGGTACACTTGCTTAATTCGCAGGCTTGATTGGAACCGCGGTAGCCCAGTTGGTAGTGGCGTCGGCAGTACAGATGCCGAAGGTCGCAGGTTTAAATCCTGCCTGCGCTGGAAAATGTTGCAAGTTTTCAAAAAAAGATAATAAGAAATTTAAAAATGTCATGCATTGACCGGGGCTCGAACCCGGGCCGCATGGTGGACTAGACACTGCAACTGTCACTAGGTCTGGAGACGAGCGTCAAGAGATTGAAAAGGCACGCATCCAACGGTGCATCGAATGCTCAGTGGCAGAGCGACGTAGCGTTGACCTATGCGGCCCGGGTTTGAACCCCGATCGATGCATGACATTTTTTCAATTTCTTATTTTCATTTTATGAGAATAATATAGCACTGTGTGTGAGTGCATTAGACAAAGTACAATGTACAGTCGCGTTCAAAATTGGAGTCCATAGCCTTAATTTACAGTTTAAAATAACTTTTATAATTTCAATGGGATCATTGGTTATTTGTACGATAAAAAGAGCTTAGTAAACTTTATCAGAATATAATATTTTAATCCACATCCTATTTCTGAATAAAAACTTACCTATATGGTCTCTACTTTTAAACGCGACTGTACCTAATTTCAGTGGTGTGTGTCCTATTCATCATAGAATAGTTAATTATGATTGGCGTGTTTGTTTCACCCTGTAAATGACTAGGTATTCAACTCTGCACGATCACGCAATCCTGCCGCACAGATGCTGATGAGGTCAACGACCTGAGTGAAAAACTTGCAAACAATATATGAACTGGGCTTTGTCGTTAGTTACGTAACAGATAGGTACAGAGTGCCTATTTATTATACAAGGTGTGACAAAAAGGGTATAACGTGTATAGTCCATTCGCAATCATAGTGTCAGATTGACATGACCAGCCTAAGCAGGAGGTCAGGTCACGCTGGTCGCAGTTCTTAAATACTACGCGACCAGCGTAACTTGACCTCCCGCTTAGGCTGGTCATGACTCCATGATTTTAAATGGACTATACGACCGATACGGTTATAAGAACCTATAGAAACTGAAAATCTTTGAGTATAGGTAGGTAATATTGACTCTAAATTAAACACAAGAGTTCTTCGGAATAAATACTTTTAATTTAATAATTTTGGATCGCTCATAACATAAACAATGGTCCGCGCGCGTCGACCGATAGCGTCCAAGCGAGAGAGCCCCAGGGCTGGGACCCACTCAGTTGTCGAGATTAGTGCTGATCATAGCTTGTCGATTTTCAGTCTAACAGTTCGGCCATCCTGCAGTCGTCCTTCGGCCTCGAAGGACAGTTGAAGTCGCATCTGGTTGATCTTGATTGTGCAGCACACTCGCACGTCGTCCGACGTAGGCAGTAACGCGAAGATCCGATGGCAGACCGTGGCAGCCTCTTCCAGCAGATCTTCACCATATTAGGCATAATGTTTCCAACGCTGTGTAGGCCCCGTAGGCAAGCGTTTGATAACAAAACACAACGCTGTGTAGGCCCGTAGGCAAGCGTTGGATTACAGAAACATAACGCTGTGTAGGCCCCGTAGGCAAGCGTTTGATTACAGAAACATAACGCTGTGTAGGCCCGTAGGCAAGCGTTTGATCACAGAAACATAACGCTGTGTAGGCCCCGTAGGCAAGCGTTTGATCACAGAAACATAACGCTGTGTAGGCCCCGTAGGCAAGCGTTTGATCACAGAAACATAACGCTGTGTAGGCCCCGTAGGCAAGCGTTTGATCACAGAAACATAACGCTGTGTAGGCCCGTAGGCAAGCGTTTGATCACAGAAACATAACGCTGTGTAGGCCCGTAGGCAAGCGTTTGATCACAGAAACATAACGCGGTGTAGGCCCTGTAGTCTAGCGATTGATCACAGAAACATAACGCTGTGTAGGCCCCGTAGGCAAGCGTTTGATCACAGAAACATAACGCTGTGTAGGCCCCGTAGGCAAGCGTTTGATTACAGAAACTTAACGCTGTGTAGGCCCCGTAGGCAAGCGTTTTTTTTTATTAGATTGTAAGAATTTGCGCGGTCGATAGTTGAGAGACTTACTACTGCTCTATAATTCTTCGTCAGATGACGAGTCTCGTGGTCTGTCATGCCAAATCTTAATTTTGTCACGGGCAACTATGTTTTTGTAAGCTTGTTTGCCTTTCGTATATGACGTTACCTCATAGCGATCGTTAGGAAGCACGGCTGTAATCTTGTATGGCCCTGCGTATCGTTGAACGAGTTTTCCACTTGTCAAACCAGGACGTACTATTTTACCATAACCAACTGGCCTGTTTGTGAAGGCTCTACAACTCGCCGATTTCTCATATTATCGTGTTTTCATTTGAACTGCATTTGTCTTAATTGTCTGAGCATCTTCGTCTCGAGAATTCGATACGTCTTCGCTGTAAACTGCCCCTTGCAAATCATTTGATAAACGAGGTCTTAAGCCACACAGCAACGGAACTGTAACGGAAACTTGCCTGTTCCTTGTATGGTAGCATAGTGTGGTACCTAACTTACCACTTGACAGCCCTAGTCTCACGATCTGCATATATATCATTTACCTGCTTTCTACCATCACTTTGAAGCTCAAACGTGTTTTGTTTTTCGGCCGTCAACGCACCACCTATCCCTCAAGGATTATCAAAAAATCAAAATCAAAAGCATTTATTTCTCAGTAGGAATTACAAGATTCACTTTAAGAAAGTCACATTCTAATTCAAACTTAAAAAAGGGAAAATTTGTAGTCCAAAATTTCCCTTTTTTATAACAATTTGTGTTCCTACTCTAAACGCGGCTCGGGCGGGATAAAAAAAATAAAAATAAAGGCACTGCCTCGGGGCTGGCCAGGCTAACCACACAGCATGTATCTTTATGCCTCAATGAATGACAAGTAAATGGAAATAATCACTAAGTCAATATTTAAAACAAGAAAGGTGTTACATGGGTATAGTTAGCCGGACCCCCTGGACAGGAAAACCCCCCAAAAACCTGCCCAGAAGTGCACCTATTCTAAAATTCACAATATTTTTAGGCCCTATGCTACCCTAGCTAAGTTAGAAAATAAATTAATATTAATAGCCAAAAAGGGCTCAACAAAATAAAAATAAAAATTACAGTAGATAATTCTAACTGTTTCGTCTTTAAAATAATAATATACTTTAAACATTGCACCAAAATGTCATAGAAAAAAAAGTAGATTTACAGTAAATGTAAAAAATACATGTCAAGAATTAAGGAATAATATAGACAAAATTAAAGGCGTGATATGTACTTAAGTGTTTTGTGCAACATCTTCTCGGAGATCAGTTGTCATATGAGTTGCCTTGTAGCTACTTATAGCACAGCTTATAAAACTGAAAACACACAACATGAAAATTATATGATTTTTATGAATGGACTATCTTAAGTCTGTACTTTTTTTTTTTTCTATGCAGATGAATATTGTCGCATTAGTAAAACTAGTACTGATGATGATGTCTATCTTAGCCGATTCCGGCTACAGCGGCTGCATCAGGAGCGGGGGCTCAGCCTGGTTTGCCCGCTCGTATACCCTCATGTGAACGCAGTAGCCAATCGTGTGTTGCAGTACACGTGAACTGCCGTGTATAACTAGTACTAATATTTCAGTGGCGGAGTTTCAATCATTACTTCCATCGTCTGACACACAGGATTTACCCACTTGTCAACAGGCTGTCATAAGACCTTTCCGTAAGTGCCATGCCACATAGGCTTTTCGTGCGTGCCACACACACAGGCAATCACAGTGTCAGACCTTAGATTTCTTATAAAGGTACGTTGAGTAAACACATTAAGTACTTCATAAACTTCGCCGAAAAGTTAAATACGTGACACAATTACTTCAAATCTAATTTTCCCCTTCTTCACTGAATGCAGTAGGCACTTTTTTTTTTAAAAAATTATTAGTTTAATAGCTTTCTTGGTAAACTGACTCTTCATACAGCTTTCAATGTTTATGTCTACAAGTTTACACATCCTTGGGAAATTAAATTGGCCTATTTGCCTCCGGGCACTTCTACAATCCTGGAAATAGCCATGACCGTCGTGATAATTCTTTATGATCTGACATGAAGCACTTTACTAACCCAAAATTAACAAGAGATTAAAAATAATATACGGTACGTATGTTTCACTGTTTTGCCAGTTTTCAACAACTTAACCAATATCTTCCCATTTAAGTGTCAGCATCTTAGACTTACTCTTAGAGAAATTAAACTTAAGTTGCTGGGGCGCACATGATAACGTCACTGGTATATGGTCTTACTAGAGTTACGTGCCACGAAAGACAGTTATGCATTGTTATTCTCTATTTTTGTTCAATCCAAGTTCAGTTCTAGTGCCTAAAATCTCTTACTTCAGATTACCGATGAGATATTGAATATTTACATCTGCATCTTGGTAATGGCAAGGACGATTCCCCAATCGTAAAAATTAAAATCGCATTGCGTAACAAGCCACCACCGAACTATTTGAGATTATTATTTGTGGTAAATAGATGTCCATGCTAATCTCAATACAGAACAAACTGCAACAATGCAAAACTTAGATCTAATACATCGCTTTTGAACATTTGGATGCCAAAGACAACTGTCAATGTTCTAAGTTTAAAACTGTGTTATTTAGCTTAAGTGGCGTGGCGGTCCTTTATTGGTTTGCATAAATTTACTCAATGATCTAATGATGCATCTTTTTTTTATGCACTTATTTAACTGAATAAAATTCTTAAAATGTATAGGTAGTCTCCTTCGTTTAGGAACCCTTTATTACATTATTACCTTAATTATTATTACATTGTTTGAATAAATAGGTACTACTCTCCCCATGTAAAAACAATTCATAAGTTTTCTTGTTAAGATGATAAATAGCCTGTATCAATTTTTTTGCTGTCGGTCAGTCGTTCGGCATTTCCACCACTTTAGGTTGATCAGACCTAGAAATGGTGGGAACCCCATTGTCAGTAATATTTCTGTCATTTTATAACATAACTTTTTCTCACATCACTTTCAAGATGTTCATGATGGATAATATCTTGAGTTTACTCAAAACTAATAGTAAAGTTCAACAATGTGAGCCGACAAACCACAGTTTTTTTTTATGTATAGTCAGCCATATATTTCCAGCGTTAGTAACATTATCAATAGGTATTTTATCCAATCATGTTTTGTATTAATTATCGTATAATGTTAACAATTCACCGGCGCCAGTGTTTTTTTTTTTTTGAAAGGAGTACAAAATTGTCTTCTTAAAATATCATTCTTACTTAAATCTCCCATATCTGGTCAGAAACATAATAGAACTTAAACAA